TGTGCTTGAAAATGTATTATATTTCAACACTTTTATCCTTCATATGGTTTTGTTAGTGGGCTGTTCCGCATCGCTTTCGTCTGCTTTGACGTAAATCTGCATAATATGTAATTCTTAAGCATGGAGATACTTAAAAGCCGATTCTGATAAAGTTTTGATGGAGCTTTGTAGAAGCTTTACCAGATTGTGTAATACATTGTACTGGTACAAAGTCTTGCATTGTATCTCGTTTATGCTTTTTAATAGAAGATACTTGAATCTATTACGCAACAAGACTATACCAGTAACAAAAACGAGTAAAATCGCTATATTTGATAATTGATAATTGGTGCTAGTAAAACATTGAATATAATTAAGTAACGAGCTATTAGGTGCAGTAATAGAATGGCCGCGGCACATTAGAAAATAATGATTAATTAATTTGGAAAAGGTCATCACGGGCCATTACCTTTAGTTAGAGTAACCAGCTCACGCTTTTATGTCCCCATGTTCTAGGTATTGAAAAGGAAATGCGTTTACCCCAGTGATGATAGGAGATATCACGTTTGCAAGTTGATCCAAAGATGTTAATATAGCATTTAAACCTAGAAGAATATTTTAATTGCTACAGCAGGAATTCAAATCCAACCTACTGGAGAGCGTGTCATCGTCGCTGATCACAACTACCCAATCTCTGGACACAAGAAATTTTTCCGCATTGAGGAACAACCGATTCACCGCACACATAAGAATGCCCAATCCCAAAAACACCATGAACAACACGGAGTCCTTTTGTACAGACAAACAGACTGAAATGTGTCGAATGCCCTGAGCTACCTCTCAAAATCAATGCTATTGTAATAAAGGCTTTCAAAGTAAGATTTCTAACCTCTACTCACCTATAAACATGACCGCTCCTAGTACAATAGTAATATTATTCACTGGAATAACCGATATAATCGCTGAAAAATTGCTTTAATAACACTCACATCAGTATTTGCGCATATGGTTTCTACTCAATATTAAAGGTCGTGGAAATGTCGCGTCCTTTTACTATATAATTGTTTACTATTATTTTTCGTGGAAAATTTTCCAATAGTTTACGTGAGTTGCAACTTCATAGGGTGGATGAAGCTGTACATTCATAACGGCAACTGAAGCCCTAGCGTTACTCCTGCCAATTTAAAACAAGGATCTCGATGAATAATGCTGTAAGTGAAAATTTCATTGCTAACCGGTATAGGTCATTACATCAGTTGTAATGCAAAATGCGCGTGATTGTGAGTTTGAGTTCACTTAAATTCCTAGGATAAAACTTCCATTAAAAGAATTTTTAGAAGACATTATGAAAATGGGTTCTGTACGAATCCAAACAACATTGCCGTGTGTACGCTAATGGCTGGAGTCTCACAAGGCAAACGTCTTAATTCTCCTTTCTTTGTTGCTTCACAAAAATTCTTGCTGCGCGTTTTCTTCCTTCTTTCCCTTGCGTTTAGCTTTCACTCGAGTCGTGAGCAAATTTTAAAAGAATCTTGTAGAGGGAATGTACGTATAAGATTACTTTGCAGCCAACAACTCATCTCTTATGATGCAGCTATCCGGGCCTCGCCACGAGGTCTTTAGCTGCCATTACGAAAGCGAGTACCTACTGAAAATCCAGGAAATTACGAAGCCCCCTTTGTAATCTGTACAACCGCGTGTACGCAGAACAAGCACTACAGTGCTGTTTACTTAGAGCACGTTTTCCTGATTAAGGCAAAACAATTTAGGGCCGCAGCAAGGAAGAGAGAAAGTGCTTCGATTAAATTGCGCTTTAAGTTGGTGTGCAAAAAGGTTTGATTTAAAGAAAGCGAAGTTACGAAAAACAAAAAGGTGTTTGCTAATCGGAGACCTGAGGTCTCCCGTAGGTTTCCGGCGGAGATCTAAATTACAAAAAGATACAGCAATTTTCTTCATTCTCTTTATTCTTCAAAAGTTTTCGAAACATTTCTTCTACTACTTGTTGCCCATCTTACGCCAGTTTTGATGGCTGTTCATTGCCTATTCACAAAGAAAACGAGTTTATATGAATATTTTGGAAGTTAAACTTCCCGCGCATATGCTCGCATTGAAACAAACACCAGACCTGTACTGGAGCATGTTTCTGAAC